GATACAAGCAGTGGCGGATCATCACTGTAAAATCTCGCGATGAAGCCCATCTTCATTGAAGCCCTCCTCTTTATTTTTTTAAATTATGCTCGGGCTTCTTTTCAAGATAGCATAGGCTTGTTTTCGCGATAGACAGTACACACTGTAGGCCTACATGAATTTCAAAAACAAAATAAATTGAAACAAACTTGGTTTATACAGTAGTTTTGGTATCTGTATCATGGTTTACCACTCCACGATACAGATTGAGTGGCCTTATTTATTGTTTCACAAAATTTACAGCGTTCATTTTGAAAAGAAGCCCCCTCTTTACTTTGCAAAAAATAGCCTCGAAAAGAGGCCCATCCTAAGTTTAAAAAAATAAATAAATAAAATCGAGGTTTTACGGTATATGCATGTATATAGGCCTATAATGGTGTTATGATTTTTTTTCCTTTTTGATTATTCACATTAACGCCGTTTACGCAACAATGTGATGATATGATTTTGCTTCGATAGGCCAACGAATTTTGCTTCAATATAAATTTTGCTTCGATATGAATTTTGCTTTGATATGAATTTTGCTTCGATACGAATTTTGATTCGATACAAATTTTGCTTCGATGAATAACATTTATAGGCCTATACTGTAGTCTCTAACACATATGGAGGAAAAGCAAAATTCACAAAATAAAAAGTTACTGTACTCTCGCGTTAAAAAGCGCCCGGGTGCCTATATTAAATTACTTATACCTTTTTTGGGTGGGGGAAGGGAGGGGCGTTTATTTAAACTGAGGGGACTTATGAAAAATATATATATGATGGATTTTTAAGGGAGTTCTGTGCTTAATTCGAGGTTGAGGGGTGCTTATCTAAGCGTTTATTTAAATGGGGTTCTTAAGAAAATGTCCACATTCCAAACAAAAGGAAAAATAAGAAAGAGAAAGAAAGAAAATGAAGATGTTAGACGATTTAAAGGATAAGAGGTCATGTGGAAATGGAGAGAAGAGCGGAGGACAGATGCCAGTGGAGGAGTTGGCAGCCAAGGACCTGCCTGACGGCAGAAAACTAAAGACGAAGAAGTGATAATTAATGCAGAGATGATGAACATTGTTACCTGTAATACGGCTGAATTAATCTTTTTTTTTTTCTATTTCTACACCGTAACAAGCGATTGCTAATAGTTCTTTCAGAAACATCAAAATGTTCGGCCAGTTTTTTACGCTTTAGGTCATCAGTAGTATACAAAATGGAGCTCTTCTTCATCTACTTCACATAGTGGGCGACCAGCGGTAGCTATTGTACAGCAAATAAAATATTACAAGTACTTGAAATGTGATTTTTAAAACTAAATTTCTTAAAGAGAGCAACTAGAAAATCTATGTACGCACAATTTCGCCTATTAAGCTCTGGGTTTGATAGGCTTCACATGAGGAAATGCATTCTCCGGGAGGTAAATCATTCCATAAACAAAACTCAAATAGGGCCTTTTTTGATTTTGATGAATAACCTGTCAACAGGGCCTATCTCCAGACCTGAAACCCCCAAAACCATTTCAGTTTTCAGTATTTGCTTTTTGCATTCAAACATGGTTGATTTAGATCTGTTAATCAAAACTACTGCTATAAATAACATACCTTATGGTCAGCGAAAAAAGATTAAAAGTTAAATAGATTTTTAAAAAAAAAGAAGATTTTCATAAGGTAAACTCTGGATCAAGGGAAGAGAAATGTAGCATACTATGCTCTATTTAAATAACTGGAAGTAGAAGACATGAATAACTTTCTTAGAATTGATAAATAATAATATGCTTTGATGATAATTCTTGCAAAGATATCTTCAAGCAATAATAAACGAATAAGAGATACTCTTTTGAGAAAAGAATGTATCCCTGGTGAACGACTATAGCTTTTACACTTGTTGGCAATGGCGATATTCATCGAAGCAAAATTTTATAATAATAATAATAATAATAATAATAATAATAATAATAATAATTATTATTATTATTATTATAATTTAAAAAAAATAATACAGTGACTTGTACCGCGCCTTTTGCCAAGGGATACAAATCGCAAAAAAATGAATAAAAAAGATAACCAATTGGTGATCAACAAAGACACCAGAAATGACAAAAAACAGAAAATTTGGACAGTTAAGTAAGATTTACTTAGGGAACAAATGTTTCTTGAGAAGCCGACGAAAACCAAGATAACAAGAAGCATGCTGTAAGGAAAAATCATATCATGGCATTGTTGCAACATACAATGGTCGATGAACAAAACGCACTGGCCGGGGTAACAAAATGCACGGGGTAATGAAATGTACTGGGAATAAAATGCACCGGGTAGCAAAATACATCGATGAATAAAATGCACCTGGTAATAAAATGCATCGGGGATTTGAAATGCACTGGGTAACAAAATTCACCGGGTAACCAAGAATCAATTAAAAATCCATGAATGCTTTGATATAAACAGAAATTATGCCCTAAAAAATGGCTGCAGTTGGAAGATAACCATGTGAACTGGATGACGAATATTTACGTTTTTGTACAATAAATGGTGGCTTAACAGGGAAGCTGTTAGCTAAACATTTTCTGTGTCGGAAGAACTATAAGTAGTCACTTGTCGTGCCAGAAATGGTTTGTGTTTCTGACTTTATGCAAAATGCTAATAGTGATTTTGCTTTAATGTAAGACATATGACAATGGTTCCAACATGTTAGACATTGCCAATATTGCAGTTTATAATTTCAACTCCTTGTGAATGAGAAATTAAAATGAGAAATCTCCTTTATGCAAACTATAATTCTTCTTCCGGTCTGAAATCATTCTGATTCACTGATTCAAAAACTAATTCAACAGGGTTTTTTTTAAATTTTTTTCACTTTCAAAACTATTATTGTTGAATTCATCCCTCTGATTTAGTTGGCACTATCAACAATGTTTCTGTCTGAATGCCCGATATCTGAATGATATATATTTTATCTCAAAGTATAGGCCTTATGATAAATCACAGGTCACTTTCCAGTATATTGGACATGTGTCAAATTTCCTTAACAATTAAAAGGTAGTTTAAAGTTATGCAACATTCAATATTAAAGTTATTATTATCTCCCTTGTAAAGTATAGTAAGATAATGCCTACTTATAATTATTATCACAAC